TAACAACAACAACAAACAAACAAACTCTTGGGAAATCACTGAAGCTTGGGAAATGATAGTGTTCTCTCACAAAATATTTCGTCATGGTTTNAAACAGAACGGAACTTGTGAAAACAATGCAACCAAAACTGCATATAAAAAAACTAAAGAAAGGAAGCAAACATAGCAATATACATTGAAAGAGAGAAAAAGGAAAGGAAGAAGAGAAAACAATGCAAGTGTTCTACTTTTCTGCAGTACAAAAATAGTAGTTACATCCCTCTCGAAATTGCTACAACTCTATTTTCGAAGAATAAATGGACCCTGTGTTTTTCTGTACTGGTGCCTTGGGCCTCTGCACAGCAACTGCTGTGAATTGGTTGATTCTGAAGTCTGCAGTCACTCAGTTCATCATGTTCTACTGATGGATTTATAGGCACAATTTCCTCTCCTCAAAGAGGTACGTATATAAAACGTATACGTATATGATTGCAAAAGAGAGGGAGGGAGGAGGGGGCCGCCACAAAAGAAGCAACTGTGGAATCCAGGTTCTGCTGGCCACTATATGTTATATAAAGTAAAGATTCTCCTCATACATATGTGCTAGTTGTTCCCAACTCTAGGGGGCGGAGCTCATCTCCATTTAAAAACCAAAGAGCCAGCGCTATCCGAAGACACCTCCATGGTCATGTGGATGGCATGACTTAATACTATAGGCACATGGAATGCTGTTACCTTCCCACCAAAGGTAGTTTCTATTTTTCTACTTGCATTTTTACGTGCTTTTGAACTACTACCCTGTTTCCCCAAAAGTAAGACCTCCGTGGATAATAAGCGCAATCGGGCTTTTAAGCGCATGCACTAAAATAAGCCCACCCCCGAAAATATTGCAACACAGCAGCAGCCATAAGGTGACCACGCTCTCCACCTCCTCAAAAATAATAAGACCTCCCCAAAAATAAGGCCAAGTGCTTATTTCGGGGGGTCAAAAGAAAATAATACCCTGTCTTATTTTCGGGAAAACACGGTAGGTTGGCAGAAGCTGGGACAAGTAACGGGAGCTCACTCAGTTAGGCAGCACTAGGGATTCGAACAACTTAATTGCCAACCTTTCTGATCGACAAGCTCAGCATCTTAGCCACTAAGCCACCGCATCCCTATAACTATTACCTACTACAGCTAAAATGCTAAAGTTGAGATCCATGAGATATTTTGAAAGTGGCTACGGCAGACACTCCCATGGGTATAACAAGGGGAAGATGATGGAATTTGCAGCTGAAGAAGGTGTGGTGGAGAATGTTGGCAATACTACTGTGGCTTCCCAGGGAAGAGGCAGCACATTCCAGAAGGAGGCCTATCCTGTGGTGGGTTTCTAATTTTTTTACTACCGGTTCGCTTGTGCATGCACAGAAGTGTCCGGGCGGGTGGGTGGACCCTCCTGCTGCTGCTACCGGTTCTCCTGATCTGGGATGAACCAGGAGGAACCCATCTCTGGGTCTATCACAAAAGACTGCATATTCTTAAATTGGAAGGGGGAGAGAGGAAAAGGTTCAGGGTAGCCACACTTTACCATTTCCCAGAGTATACTTATTTGGATAGAAGGTTATAGCTTTAGTCTGGTAAGATTCTGTCTATTAGGCATAAGGAAATAAGGATCTGGATTCAATGTGGATCTTATTGTGTTATCTTAGGGCTACTACTGGGATTGGCCCATTCCGCCCATGCTGGCAGACGAGGCATGCTGTGGGTCCTATCTGCCCATCAGCCTGATTATTCCAGTTGGCAGGGTTCAGGAGACAGGCCTCCTCTGCAGGCAGATTTTGATGGAAAGTTTGGGAAAAGCTGGGTAGATAGAACTTGATGGGAAAAGAAGGACTGAACTTGTTATGTTTGATGCTTCTAGAGTGATCTTTGATAGAATAGAGAAAAGATCCTGCTTTCTCACAACAATTTTATTTTTCTTCTTGGAAATCTTGGGAGACAGAAAATACCAACCAGAGTTTTAAGAACTGGCAGTTTTTAAACTGACATTTGTTATCTATCGCCTTTGTGTAGAGAAAGGTTTCTATCCACAATGACCATGAAAATGGCTGTGACTCTGAACTAATGTCTGACACAGAGATTTGGATTGTATCAAGGCAGGTTTTCAAGCCAGAAAATTTTGTAATTTCAGTATAGTGAACCAATTATGCCTCCTGGTTTCAGTTCCTAAAGTCAAACCAAAGTAAAACTGGGGATTTTTTCTAAAATATCACTTTAAATATCACTTCTGAAGGATGTCAGATCAAGGTTTAGCTTGGACATCTCCTACAAACTTTGCCACTGGAGAAACTAAAGTGTCATCCAGAAACCTTGTCATATGTTGGATCAAAGCAGCCCTGGCAACTTTTGTGGCAGCCGCACAAAAAAATCCAGGACCAGGGGAGATATGATAGCAGTGTTCCAATATTTGAATATTTAAATAATACTTGAGGGGCTTCCACAGAGGGGAGCGGGTCAAGCTATTTTCCAAAGCACCTGAAGGCCAGACAAGGAATAATGGATGGAAACTGACCAAGGAGAGATTCAACCTAGAAATAAGGAGGAACTTTCTGACAGTGAGAACAATCGACCAATAGAACAGAAGTTGCCTTCAGAAGTTGTGGTAGCTTCATCACTGGAGGCTTTCAAGAAGAGATTGGACTGCCATTTGTCAGAAATGGTATAGCGGGTGTTGGACTAGATGACCTATAAAATCCCTTCCAACTCTCTTAATCTACAATATACAGTGTAAGGACTAACAACCATTATATAGGACAAACAGGCAAAAGACTAGCAGAATGCATCCATGAACACCAACTAGCTGTCTGAAGGCATGATGGAAACTCCTTAATTGCACAACGTATGGATAGAAATAACCAGAGGTTCAAATGGAAAACTGTGGGCATCCTACCAAGCCAAGCTCAAAAACACTACAGAATTCCTGGAAGCCTGGCACTCAGATAAATCAGCCATCAACAGTCACATAGAGATAAACAACATGTAGCTACCATTCAAAAGTACCATTTTCTACTTGCATTTTTACATGCTTTCGAACTGCTAGGTTGGCAGAATCTGGGACAAGTAACAGGAGCTCACTTTGTTACACAACGCTAGGGATTTGAACCACCGAACTGCTGACCTTTCTGATGGAAAAGCTCAGCATCTTAGCTGCTGAGCCACTGCGCCCTATCTCTTTAACTTATCAGGCTATAAAAAGAGATGGCAAGAAAGCTGTACTTTCAAACTTGGAAGTTTCTGTTAATGAAGCCTTGGAATAAAATTGAATTAGTCCCTCTGTTTGTTTCCTGTTCCTCTACCTGAGAAGGCCAATTTGGTTTTTTTTTTCTGCTGCCTTCTGGATATGCAACTTAACCAGAGTTAATTGCTTACCTTCTCTTCTGTTCTCAAAACAATTACCATTCCTATAAATACCAACACATATTTATACACAGACACATACACCAATATATGTGTCAACTATCAGACCTGCACTGTAATCTTGCCATACGCTAAATAAATATGCTATAATCTGTCCTGGAATAAAAGCAAATTCTCTGTCATTTCCATGCATTTCTCACCCACTCCATATGGAGGGGGCAGAATGTGCCACCTACGCAAAATGCCACTTTGGGTGGCAGGCCTTATCTCATCCTCCCACATGTTTGCTTGTTAACTTGGCAGTCTGCCTGGGCATATGACTGAGTCCTGGAGCCATTAAGAACGTATAGAATATGGCTGAAAGGAAAAATTGAATTGCCCATTGACTGATGCCTTTAGATCACCACATAGGAACTTTTTGGTGGCTGAAATGAGAAGGATTATGCACCAGCATAGCCTGTGAAGTGAAGGGGAAATTTTAAATGCAAAACAATATTGTAACATTTGAAATTATAGGAAGAATCCAGGCTGTCCTTCAAGAGATTTGCATCAGGGTGCAAAGTGTGTTGTCTTAAAGCAGCAATGGGAGGAGATCATGTTTTACTAGAAATTGAATCTAAGCTCAAGGAAGAAGTAAGGTTTTTCCCCAAATGCCATGTTTTTGCCAATGTTTCATTTCATTAGCACCAACCTGCAGGCAAGTCAAGGCAGCAAATTTCTAAAATCATGGTCTCCATAACCATGGAGCATTAAAGGCCACTTGTGAAAATGTAGTTCAAAGCCTGAGCAGGGAGGGACCGCTTCTCAAAAGGTAACGAGATAGTGCCATTTGGAAAGTCTACTAGGCAGGAAGAGGGCAAGGATGTACCCTGCCTAGCAGCTCACAGAGTATATCTATAGATATACAGATACTTTAGTCTGGCAAGATTCTGTCAGTAGGTGAACAATAATAAATAAATTACTCAGAAGTAATTCCACATGTTATTCCTGGTTTTTGGAGCCTGGCATCACCAACTGAATGGTTAAGGAGTTAAGATTAAGAAGAACAGNCTAGTCTCCCTTTATTTATCAGCACAAACACACACACACACACACATATATACACATACATACATACATACATACACACACACACACACACACACACACACATACACACATACATATACATGCATGTGTGTATACATATACATACACACATGCACACACGTACACACACATACATACATATCCCCCGTGTGATGGGGAAAGTATAAAAAGTAGCTCATGCAATAGAACATTGCTGCTACAGGGATTTCACTGTGAAATCACTCATAAAAGCATTTGCCAGGGATAAACAACAGATTCAAGTGTTGATAATATATTAATAGTTGAGATAAACTATTGTAAAATAAAGCATTTTCATATTCTGATTAAAGCATTCAGTCTTAACATAATGTATGCCACAATTCAAATCTAGTTAATATCCTAAATCAAAGCACAATATGATTTATCATGTTGCATGAAAGCTGCAGCCATTGAGGTATGTCATTTTTGTTTCTGCTTTAGTGGGTTCATATTTCATGCTGAACCAAAAATAAATTTCAAGCGTGTACAGCTACTAAATGCCATAAAATATTTACCTGGGGATGAGCCATAGTTTGTGATTTTGGTTACTGCATGTATTATTTTACTGTTCGCAATCACTGTTCCAAAATTTATCTCAGGTTCAATTTCTAAGAAACAACATGGACGTAATCTGCAAAAAAAAGTGTATTTTATTGGTTTTATATCATTGTATTGATTTGATTTTTAAATACATTTCAAGGGAAATAAAGTATTTTAGACTTTTTCAACAGATGCACTACCTTTCTTAACTTAGTACTTATGTTGTTACTTTTTTTAAGTAATAAGCACGATGAAAACATATTAATTTGCAACTGCATTTCATTTAGCTTGAAATTATTTTCATGTCAAAATATTTTAATATTTATTGCCTATTTCTATATAATATAGAAGCAAACTCGATGCACTTCAAAGCCATTGGTACTCAATGCATTTTGATGTGAAAATTTTGCTCCAGTGTTCATAGTACCACTCTATATGACTTTAGTATTACATAAACTCACAATACTTGGTGTAAGAAATACTGCCATATTTCACACATAACAAATTTAACAAAACACATTAAACTAAGAACTTCTGGAACTGTGTTAGGAGTCATAAGCACTTATAAGTAGGGTTAATGGTTTTTTCTAACTCTGATTGGCCTTGCACAGACAAAATGAAGAAATAATCAGAATTTGTTCCAGGTTTTGCTCCACATTAGTAAAAGACAAATGGGCTGCTACATTATAACAAAGATTGAGACCCCCTGAATTACATAGGTTAAAATTGTAATTATTAAGTGTGGCATATTTTTTATTTACCCAATGCTACTCTAATTAAATAATTAGGTTCAGTTGGAGGTCATATAAAATTATTTTAGGGGTTTGCAGAGCCACAAATTTTATTTTACAACTTCCTGTTTTAAAATGAAGTAATCATCACAACCATTTGTTGGGGTTTAGTGTTGTGCAAATGCTTGCCAAATATTTAACCAACAGTAGTGTTTTATATTGAGATGTCATACCCAATCAGAGGAATTTCAATTACTTTTTTCTCTACATGAAGGAGGAGCCTATCATGAAAGTCTTCCTCACTGTCCGGACGATATTCCACAGTAGCTGTTATGTAAAGGCCAGAAGCAACAGGTTTCTTTGGATTTTCCATAATTAGTTTGAACTACAAAATTAAGAAATCATTCAATTTAGGAAAAGTTATCTGAACTTGAGAATCTTCACCACTATACAGCTTCACCATAGAGCAAATTATAATGCAAATAAAAATTGATGGAGAGGGGTGGGAACAATAATGTAAGAGGAAGTACTGAGATAGTGTGAAACTGTATCATAAACATAGGAAATATACAAACAAATATGAAAGAGGAAGTACCAATTAGGAAGGTCACCTGCTTTTTAAAGGGACTGTAATCTCATTCATGCCTCCTATTCACCTTGAACTATTTACCCTGTAATATCTTGTAAGCTTCTTTCCCAAACTTACATCGAGATTTTGAGTATCTTCCATCTTTTCCAGTCACTGAGTTTTTATGCCTGTTAATAATCTGAAGATGACATAGTAACAGATCTAGCAACAGATTCAAAAATGGTATAATAAATCTGAATTACTAGACAATATTGTGCTGATTCAAAATTATGTATTTCCTGTTAAATTGTAACTTTTTATTGACTGAATTCTTATTTCATCTTACTATTTAACTATCTTTGTTCAAGATTGCAGACACGTATGTTTCTAACCTATAAATAACTGGAGGAATCAAAACTATCCCCCGCTTCATATGCTAATCATAGAGCAAGAAATAATAAGCATGGCTCTTCAAAAAGAATTAGTGAATCCCAGTAACCCACTCAATATCCTTTTTTCTTTAAGTATGCCTCCCTGCCAAAGATGGACATCCAAATTAAAGGTCTCTTGGTAAAGAGGTTTCTCATTAGAACTCATTGGGTTTGATGCTGCTGAAACAAAACGAATTCCTCCAATATGATCCGCACACAGGCTAAAAAAAAACAAGTTTGTTCGGAATCTTCAAAAATAACTAATTTCACGGTAAAGGAGCATGAGGATTCCCAAGCCTCAATCAGGTCCTGACTAAGATTTCCAACTTCTTCGCTCCACTCCCTTAATGAGACTGCCTTGTTCCCGCCCCACCTGAGGCCGTTCCGGAGGTAGTAAATGAAGCGAACAGCTGCGTTTCTGCAGGTTTTGGACGCTGAGCAGCGCTCTGTAAGATCTGCCTGGCATCGCATCCACGAAGCGCAGCTCGGGGGGCATAATCCGCACTCCGGCAACATCCATGGACCCGCCAGTTTCCAGCTTGCCTCCGCGGGAGCTCATGGCGGCCTTCAAGCTAGTCAACTTCGTGAGCCGAGAGTTCCTGTCTCCAAAGAGACGCAAGCTTCTTTTCCAATCAGCGGCTGGAGAGCTGTTGCTCCGCAACTGGAATCCGTATTCTGATTGGCGACTAGGCTTTAGCCTGAAATTCTGCCCTTGAACGCGGAGCCCCCCTTCTCCCACCATAAAAGGGAGTCCCTGTCCTGCAAAGGGAAAGAGGAGGCCGTTCAATGTCAAGCTAACCAGAAACACTTGGTTGGGGGGGGGGGGGTTAAGCTTTAGTTGGTGCTTTTTGCACCTGTCGTTTTATGTTCTAGAAACAAAGGCATTTCATCTATTATAAAGTAAGGACAAGAATCTGATCAAGTGGAATTTCTTTTTTTAAGAAGTTTTTTTAAATTTATTTTCAATTTTAAAAATATAAACATTCCATAAGCAGTGGGTCGTCTGGGTACAAATATTTCTGTGCAGCATTCTTCCAAAGGTTACGTTGAATATTTAATACATTGTAAAGCTCTACATTTCCTTCTTAATATATATTCTAATAAAAATACAATTGTAAGGTTTGAGAATACATCCAAATCACAATGAGCCAAACATGAGACTTCAACGGAGGCTGAATAACAATCACAGTTTAATCTTTGATCAAAGTTTAAAGACATGATGGTCAGTTGTTCCCAACATATCCCAAGGATATGCAGGGAAGAATTACCCTTCAGAGAAGGTGTAGCTCCTTTTTATACAGTTAGAAACATCATCACTATTTTTATCAGTCTTATCTCTTTGCTGTTCCCACGATTGGCCATTTGGCCCCCTATTGTGAAGGGCACAGATCTAAGGTGAGATACCTTCTTAGGCAGAAGTGGGACAGATCAAATGTGTCAACACCTGTGTTTACAGCTCTTTACAGCCCCATTCCGGGGTAGGTTCTATCCCCATAGATTGCAGATTGATAAGAGTTCAAATGGTCAGGATTTGACATTTGCCAGATATGTTACAAGTACAAGGCATAATATATGCGTGTTACAGAAAATAAATGTTTCTACTAAAACCAACAAGTTTGCATCCTTATTACTATTCCCCTTCCAGTGACGTGCGGTGACGGTTACCGTTGGTGAGGCAAGACGGCAGCAGCGGCGAGAAGCAACGTCCCCGGCACTGTGTCCGACAGGCGTCTCGCATTTATGGC